CCTTACTTTTTCTCGGTCTCTCCGCCGATGTGGGTCTCATTTGAATTATTATTAAATGTGATGATTGATGATGATAGTGATGATACGTTTCTCATTGCCGACATGGAGCGCACAAAAGTTACAACTTACAACTTATTGCAAGTCATCACTCGTCCACTTGGTGTTTTTTTTTTTTTTTTTTTATATATATATATTTTTTGTTGTTTGTGGTGGACAACTTACTCACAATGACATCACATTGTTTTCTTTTGTTGCAGATAAGTGATTGGTTTTTTAACTCAACTTTAATTCTTTGAATTTTTTCTCCCATCTTTACTACTTTACTGCTTACAAGTCTGATTGCAACGAGAACCCATGAATGAATAATCAAAATAAGAAAAAGAAAAAAAGATTTCGAGGTGAATCAACTGATGAAGTCAAGACAGACCAACAGTCTAATTTCCACAATTTAATTCATTCCTACCTACATGTTTTACGTTATATTTATACTAGCAACAACTAAGTCCATGCAAATGCATAGGATAATAAAAATCTGGTTAGGTTTAGATTGATATCAATTTTCCCGTTTTAACATGGGTTAAGTTGACCCTTAAACTGACCCATTCCATCTAGTATAATATAAAAGATAAATAAGCACATGTGCGTAAAAATTTTGTGATGAAAAGACTCCTCCACAAGTCCCATCTTTCCTGTTACTAATACAGATATAAATAGATATGGTTGTCCTAGTGTTGGCCACTATGGAATCGAGCCAATATTTTGATTGGTCCCATTGGAGGAATCCGCCAAAACCAACATGATTTCAACATGAAGCATGAATCAAGGATAAGAGAAAAAGCTTGGTAGGAGGCGGATTTGGAGGCACACAAATGGCATTTTTAATTAAGACATCATTTTAATATTATATCAAGGTAAGATGTGGATCATATAATAAAATAAAATGGAGTGTGCACCAAGGTAACATAGAATAACAGATTACTTACCTCTTTGGGATTTTCCAGAATAGAGATTTTGTTTCTCTGGTTCCATTGTGTGGTTCTGTTGGTGACACCCCCTTCAACTGATGCACTTGCATTATAAAATCCAAAAATTATGCAACTTGGGAGTCATCTGTCACCTACAAATCCTAGTCTGAATTGTTTTACATGTTTTAGTTTTAGGCCAGGTGATTTTTAGGGTTTGATGAGTTGGGTTGGATAGTTTAATATAATATATTTTGATTGCAGGGGACATAATAATTGTTTGACAAGTCCGATTATATAAAAAAGGTGAATAGAAATATATCGAGAATAAAAACAATCAACGAAATGAGTGTTAACACAAAAGCCATTACATATTAGGGCAACCAGGAAGGTACAACTGAGTAGCTGATCAAAATAGGGAAAGCACCACGAAAGATGAATTTCACCGGCACATGGTAGGTTGTTGATTAGATAACACACAAGTGATGAAAAGGAACTATCCAGGTGGTAGCTCAGTTGGCAGCTAATTAACAAGGATTCCACTTGTTGGTCAAGCCACTCTTTGGCCGTGTAGAAAGTTTCACTCTCGTAACCCCACAAGCCACTCTACGGCCAATCAGAGAAGCTCCCTCTTTGGTGTATTGTCTTTGAGTTGGAGTTGCATCAAACTGATTAGTTCTTCCAAGCAGCACCCCTTCCATATAGCTAGTTAGTTACATGTACAAATTTTCCTTGTTTTTTTTCTTTTCTTTTTAGGGATCTTTAGCGAGAATGAGATATACTTGGTAATTAGCAACGAGTTTATGCAACTCTTTGAAAAATTTGCTTTCTCTTTTCATCTGAATTAGTCTCAGCTTAAGGATCTAGATTCTATATATGAATGTACAAAAGGGATGAACTATTTTAATAATCTATAAACTATTGAATGTTCAAATTAAAGAGCAATGCACCATTACCTATGAATGAAAATTTTGAAAAATCATTTGACTGGCATTAAGGGAAAACATCAAACAGTTTCTGAGCCATTTGACTGGCTGAGTTTCTGAAAATTGACACGGGAATTGAATACTAGGATCTGTGGCCAATAAGGAGAGTTCCCTGTCTGATGGATGGGTCCAAACCAAACTGACCAAGTCATGGCCACATGCTAAGGAAAGAAATTTAGGGAGTGGGCTCCCACTTGGAAAATATTTTCCCATTCCATAATGGAAATTGACAAAAAAAAACGGAAAGGACAAAGGAAAAAAAAAAAAAAAGGAAAAACAAAAGATGAAGAAAAGTAATTATTTGATGTTGGTTATGTCAGGTACCCAATTGACAAAGCTGTGGGACCTAAAAGAAAATAAATTGCTTCAGTTTTGCGTACATGTGGGTCGGGTCAGGGACTGCCAGAAAAATGCAACTGAGCCTGACCCATATGTCAACTCATGGACTAGGAACCAAGTCACATAAACTAGTACAATATGATCAATCGGGTCTAACAAAGTACCAGCAACTCTTAACACTAATAGTTCAACATATCATCTAATGCTAATTGGGATGATTTATGGTAGCTAAGTAAGTGCTAAACACACATGAACAAAAATTAGGCCTGAATAAGTGAATAGTTATCTCAATTGTTTTTTTCTTTTCACCTGCGCCAGGGCGGTGATACACCGGCAAGGGCGACCGGAAAGGTCGGCATTCACAGCCCAATTGATGTTTTTGACATAGAAAAGAGGTCCCCCCATCCAATGCAGAGTCAGGGTCTATATTCTATAGATGTTTCAGCCAATTGCTATGTGAATAGGTGAGGCCACCATGATGAAGGATGGGGGCAACACCTTGTAAAAAAAAAAAAAAAAATCTGCCTCTCCCAAAAGTTCATGTGTGGAGTTATTATGCTAATAATAGTAAAAAAAGAATAGATGAATGTATTATTATAATCACAACAAAGCTTTTTCAGTTTCCTTAATTAGGATTGTATAATCATAAAGGAGTTAAATATAATAGAATTGGGTTAGCTTCAGTCAAAAGGAAAGCCAGAGAAGCAGACTTGGGATTGAGAAGATTCAAACAAAAACCGTGCATGGAATGCTTCTAAAAGTCTCTACCATTTGATTAAAAAAATAGTCAACTTGGAATTAATTTAATGGAGCAACTCCAACAATTTGTGGGTATTTTACTCAAAGTTCTTGTGGCCATGGCTTAAACACGTTACTGCAATTACTTCTGCATCACATGTTAATGACTGTAGACGGCGATACCTTCTATTGGGTTTATTAAATCTTCATTTAATTTTCAATAGGGAGAGAGTGGTATTCTTCTCTTGTCAAGGTTGACCCATCTCTTTCCGTCCATGCACTTGCATGGAATGAGACCAATCACCCGATGGGCTGCCTGTTGAGAACTCCCTTTCAGACGTTTAATCAACCCAGATGAGCTTATAACCCTCCGATTCATGGCAATTTGATTGGTTCATTGTTCATAATCATGAATGATTATGTGGGTTCTCTTTCTCCTTTCCAAGTGGGCAAGCTCTGTCCTGTTAGGCTAAGCGCCCACAGCAATCAAACCATTGACATTTCAATCAATGCAGGTAAATGGGTTCAGGTTGAGCTTTAATTTCAAGTGCCCTACTTGAACACACCATTGCCATTTGCCACCCGTATTCCGTGTTGCTGCTGAGATTCTTCTGGTTTTTTGAAAATTTCAAGCTTGACGAGGCCACGGTGGTCGGGTCTTTGTAGCTAAGAAAAACTTGGCTCGCCATAGTCCATACTACTTAATTATGAATTATTATTCTGATGGTGGGATGTGTTTGTTAGGTTGGTGTGAGGTGCGCTCTGTAAGGAGCAGATCCTCTGTAGCCCAACTGTCCTATTATTTTAAGGTTGCCACCCGGAATCCCAGTCCCCTGTGGCCTCTGGGGCCGGGGCTGGGTCAATTGCTGATGCCAGAGTTGACTTGACCTAAACCTGGATTTCACCAAGCGACCCAGCTGGACTGCCTGGATTTAGCCCCTAAGTTCAGCGTTTAAACTTGAAGGGAAAGGTAGTCGGAATTCGGAAAGCATTTGTTATGTGGGGGGGAGTCTAGGGGTTCAATGGGGACCCGATTACCTAGATACCCTAAAGTACCTAGCCAGCATTATTAGGGTCTGGTCCAGAAACATTTGTTGGACTCCACCATTATCGGGTTCAAAGATCAAAGATTCGAAATTAGGGTTCCACCAGCAAGCATCCGATGAAGACATGAGCATATAAACGTTGAGATTTTACTTACAAAAGAGAAACAAGTGAATGCAGTTTTTCCTGTTTGCATCGGAGTTTAAACTGAGGTGTACAATTAAGATCAGGCCAAATCGGGGGTCTGGGACTCTGGCGGTCCCAGAACTTGCTAGTTGCCACCAATCTTACATTTTGATTGTTGTTAAAAGTCATCCGACCATGCTGATGCCTTCCATGTCTAATGCCCTGGTTCGGACTTGGGGTCATTCAACTGTGGGACCCTATTCTTGAAAAATGAGCCAGGTGGCAAGTTCTGATGCGTCAGACCCTAACTATAATGGGTCTCTATAAGAAAGTTTATCAGTTTTCATATGCCTTACAGATCATCTTACACTACATATCTGCAACATCAGGTGCGGAACCCACCTGTAATGACACAACGTCGCAGATGTGGTGTAACTGTGTAAGATGATTTGAAACTTGTAAAGCATACACCAACAACAGAAAAACAATTTGAATGCTTATTTTTATTCGGTTCATTGTTGTTGGGTGGGTCCTGGAACCCGCTGTCATACTCATATCTGGACATGATAAGACCCAGAACCTGATGCATATGAAACGTCTGAGTATCAGTTGACAAGTGACACCCTGCTCTGTGATCAATTTGGTGATTACCAGCCGATACAGGAGCACCTGAGCAGTTGGCTATCTGAAACATGGACCAACTACTGGAAATTGGCAGTTCTAGAAATGGATGGTTAGCACTTAGCATGGATCTTCTRTATACATATTTGCACAAAGGCTGGTGACTGGAGCAGTTACAAGTGTATACTGTGCAGCATCTTTTGTATTCCTTGAATTTAAATCAACATTCCATGATGATCCAATTGCCAAAATTTTAGTATGGTACATGGGAGCATCTGATGCACAGCTCGGGCAATTGCCCAGTAGCATGGCATACATTGCATTTACAGTGGTCCCCAGCTATAGTACAGAACTTGTGAAAAGCAAAAGCATGAACGCTATTAAAGTGTAAGAATCTTGCCTTTCTGAAACCAAACTTCCTTCAACAGTGGGCACATATTTTGTTTAAGAGTGCATATCATGGCATTCAAATTGCCCTTTATGTGAAATCTTGGTGGGGCGTGCAGGTAACTGCTTTTAAGATGATGTCATCCTCCTTCCAATAGGCCTGTTAGCGGGAATTTGAAGATGGAAATCCATTGGCGTTCTGCGTCTCCATTTCAAGAAGCATCAAAGATTTCTGTCGTTGATACCTATTTCTCTTTGCTGATAGTGCTGGAAAAAGAATCAAATAAGTTCAGTTTAGAACCAGGATAAAACATATAAAGTACCCCATGAACAAGATCAACAAAGCTGTGTAACCACAGTATAAGAAATTGAATATTCGAAAAAAGAAAATCCACGCAACAACAAGCATGCTGTAAGATTTTCTTTTAAAGATGATAGATGTGAACAGGAAAGCATTGCAAGTTGTGATTTGCAAGTTATAATGCACATACAAATAAAATCCATATCGAAAAATTAAGGATAGTGAGGATATGGCACATATGATACAAAGAAGGACAAATAATTCAAATTCCTTTTTACTCAGATTGGTAAGGAAAGCTTAATAAAAAAATACAATTAGGTGGCAAAAGTTTCCAAATTRTGCAGTTTGTCTACTAACAACTTGTTTGGCCAAATGTGCCTGCTCATTAGATACATGGAAAACCTAACTGAAACCTATACCTGTACCTTTCAATTATATTCAGTAGTTTCCAAAGCACCACTTGATTGGATATCCCACTAAATGAACACTTTTTCACATAAAGAAGGCTTTAAGAAAATGTCACAAGCATCTCCAACCCTTTGAGGAGGATATAGGCCTTGTGTGCCGAATTCCATCTAGCTTATAGGTCCCAACTTCCAAGTGTCATACAAATTATTTACATTAACATTTCTTTAGTCATGAAGGCATCTTAGCAGTAAATCGTCTGTGTGAATAATTTGTTTACGTTTGGGATCTAAAAATTCTAAGGGCCTCAGTTTGAACTCATGAATTGCAGGAAATCACTACCAAACCCAATAAAATGAGCTCTTTAAATCAATAGAAATGTCAACAACTACCCATTAAGACCCCTGTTTCAATACAAATTGGTTAAGCTTTGTGCCTCACTTGAGATTTGAGAAAGATGAAGACTGAGGAAGAACAAAGTTGAGCATAGACATGGCTCTTCTTCTACAACTATTTTCACCCAAGCACATACTAATTGAAGAAGTGCCTATATCAAAGGAACAATAATAAATGTGGACAGAGAAAATAAGAAATGTCTAAAAATTCATATAAAAAACTCTAGCTAGAAGGGAAACAGATTTGGATGAGCTGTTTCAGGGGCTCTTGCAGGCTAGACCATTGGTTTGTAATTATTTGGGGAGGGGGTTATAATTTGTATTGGGGTGGAATATTAGGTTCTAGCCCTTCCCCCCACCCCACCCCAATTTGGGAAATCTTTATTATACTATCTCATCTGTTACCAGAAAGATAAAAGAACTAATTTTAGAGATCACCCAATGCATCTGAAAGTTGTGCTGTCAACAACTTGGCCTGCTAGTTTTGGCAATAGGTTCTTTTGCATGTTCATCAATTGATAAAGAACAAAATTAGACAAGAAAGATAATGGGAAATTAGGATTGAGAATGTAATTCATCTACCTTCTTCCCCTAGGTATTTTTGTGTTTTTAGACAGTAGGTATTTCATTGGTTAAGTGATATAGGAGTTACTGAGTTTTCTTATGATACTAGCAATTCTATAATTATATATTTTTTTTCTAGTTCTAATGGGAATTTACTTGAGATTTTACCCAACTACCCATTAGTGATTCAGTTTTCTCTCTCTTCTTTCTCTCTATTGTCTCTTTAATATTCCAAGCATTCATCAATAAGTAAATCATAAGTTTATAAAAAGGTGCTCATTCAACATTCTCAAAGGCCAGAAACTGATCTAGCTAAGCTTTTTCTCTATTTTCCATAGAAAACTGAATTTTTTTCCATTCCAACCATTTTTTTGCTCCCATGTTTGCACATCCACATAGATCTTCCCAACCTTTCATTCCTTTAAACATCAGCTCAAAGTTCCACCCAGAACCTTAGATTTCATAATTTTCACATTTGTAAAATTTTCATCTCTTCATGCAAACCATACTCTGAACCTCACCAAACTTGATCGCCCTTTCCAACCCTACCTACCAACCATTGAAAAATAGACCTATTTTTCTTATTTTGAAGTTTTCAACCATCTTAGGACAAATATGCAGTTCTTGCAATTAAGCTCTTAGACCTTTCTCATCCTCATTAATATTTGACTTTTCTTTATACAGTATAATTTTCATCCTTTTGTGCCAAACATACTTTGATTAATTCTTTTCCCACTTTTCTATTGGTAACAAGTGCTTTTATTAATATTTCAGATGCAAAAAGCGAAGAGATACAAGAAGACAAGACTCTTAAAACCAAGACACATGAAATTGGGTGTATTAAGTTTTGCCCTCTCTTATACAGCCTTTCTTACTCCTAACTAAACTAACATGGTATCATGTTCACTGTGTGTCAAATGTAGGTAAACTCCTTGCCTCAAAGGACGACTTTTATTTCTAAAGACATTATGGAGATGTTTTTTCTTTGATAAATACGTGGTAGTTTTATTAAGAAGAGAAAAAAAGGTGTGCAGTCACCCTAAAAGGAGGCACAAGATGTTACCATCCCTTGGGAATGAGGATATAAACACTCTTAACAGAAATGCACTTATAAAGTAGCCCAGAACAATTCACCCCTAGAAACCCCTTGTTTAGCCAAAGAGTCAGCCATAGAATTTGCTGATCTGCTAACCCACTGGAAGCTTACTGACATGTTTCGTGTAAGCCACTTAACTTTCTTGAGAAGATCCCTGTAGCCTCAGAAAATCATATCTGGATCTGACAGCCAATCCCTACCACCTTGGAGTCCCCCTCAACTATCAAGTGCTCCACTCCAAGTTCGTTTGCAGCCTGTATTCCTTGTACTGCGGCCAGTATCTCAGCCCTTATAGAATCATCAACTCCCACTGATCCAGAGAATAGGGACAAAATGTAACTATCCTTTCTCTCAAAACCCCTCCTATGCCTGAGGGCCCTGGATTACCTTGACTGCTCCTGTCAAAATTCAGCTTTACTGGAGGTCTCCATTATGGCAATGTTATGTGACAACAAAGCTGGCATATGCAGTGCTAGCGGTCCCATTTTTCAGGAGAAGACAAAACACATTGAAGTTGATCTTTATTATCATGGGCATGGTATTCAAGAAGAAACTAGACATTGTAATGAACTTCGAGATGTCTTTAGCAAGCCTTAAATGACATATTCCAATTATATGTAACAAATTATGCATTGCATGATACTTGTGATCTACTAGGGGAAGGAGGAGCATAAATATCATTATGTAATGTGTTAATGGGGTTTCTGTCTTTTCAACATATAGGACAATGTATCCTGTTTGACACTCATACATTCTCTCTCATCCTATCTCTCAGTTGGTTTTCAATCTAATGGTATGAAACAACAGTGCTACATCCCAATGATCTCATTATGGCATGACCTCTGTTCGGCCTGACCTTGTAACTTCTTGTAGGAATAGAGCACATGGAAGTTTAATCAGGCCAACAGGTTTGATATTGGTCTTGTATTTTTACCTTGCAAAATCTGGCCATTTCAGGTTTCAGTTCAGACAAATTGACCTGTGTTTTTGTTGTGCTTTGTGATGGAATATATATAACCGGGTTAAGAACAACCTAGCTCAAACAAAACCTGACCCATTGCCTTCCCTGCTATTCATAAGCTTCTTGACCATGACACTTGGATGCCTGTACATGGGTGCCATAACATGTCAAACACTTCTGTAGAGTAAATTTGTCTCCAAAACCATGCTTCTCCTCATCCTTTGCATGTCTGTGTAACATCTTTTTGGTCATCATATAAACCCCGTCCCAACTACATAAGGTCTGCTACATGAATCCTGCACTGCCATATTGTTTTGTTCAGTGACATATCAATTGTTAAATTAAGGGCCCTTCAACCCATGTCCTTTTTATCTTAATTTCTGATTCTATCCTTTCTACTTTTCTTACCCATCCATCTCAACATTCACATTTTTGCCACACACGAAGTGTTGCTTTTTTGACTACCAACACTCTGTTCCATGCAATATTGTGGCCTTATAACTGTTTTATAAAATTTTCCTTTGGGACTAGCCACCTAGGTTGTATTCTGTTATTGCATAAGACTCTAGATGCACCCCTCCCCATTTTGTCCACCTTCAATCTCTCCCTTATTAGTTGTTATGGATTATTGAACCAAGGTAATGAAAAAGGTTACATCAAGATATCTCTTGGTCTCCAATCCTAAGTGTACCCTGAATTCCACCCCTGTGGTCATTAAGTTTACATTGAATACATTCCAACTTATTTTAAATCCATTTATATCTAAGTATTTGTCTAAAAATCTAAATTTGCATTTATCCTTCTTTAGTTTCATCAATTGATACTATGTCATCAACAAGCAACATTCACCAACGGGACCTATTGAATGTGTTTAGCCAATTCATCCATGGCTAGTGCAAATAAATAAAGGCTAACTAGCTAAGTGTTTATTCTTGATTAAGTACCATGTTCAAAATTGTTGCACCCTCATACATGTTCATAATTAGGTCCATATACCTATTTGGGATTTCTTTCTTTTTCCAAAACCCACCATATTATCATCTCTAGGAACTTTACCATATGCTTTCTCTAGGACAATGAATACTATATGTCGATCTCTCTTTCTCTCTAAACTTTTCTATCAATTATCTAAATAAAAAGGACAGCTTCCATGGTTGATTTCCTTGACATAAAACCAAATTGGTTTCTAAAATACCAGTTTTTTTTTTTTTTTAATTCATGTTTCCAAAATATCAGTTTCATCACCTTTTGTTTTTAAATATAGGCGCCATAGTGTTTCTCTCTTCATTTGACATCCTTTTTGTTTTCATTATATTATTAAATAATTTAGTTAACCATAATATGCCTACCTCTCTAATATCTTTCCAAGCTTCTGTTGGGATACAATTAAGTTGTAACTAGGGGCATTGAAATTTCTGAGCTTGGACCTAGGTTTTGTACTCTTGTGTCTAGGCCTAGGCCCATATCAGGCCTGGACATATGCATGTGTTATTTTATGTTATATTCCTATTATACAATATTGTAATATGACTAAGGGTGTCAACGGTATCCAAAAATCCGATTTCGAATTCAAGATTAGACATAATCGAAACGAATTTGGATAATTTGAATATCTAATCGGTCGAATTCAGATTTCCTATTCATACTGAATAGTTAATCGGATACAAATTCGGATATGACCTGATTCRATTTGATTAATGTCCAAATTCGAATGATTATTTAATTCTTATATAATATATATATATATATATATATATAAAATGTTTAAATGTTTTATATAATTTATATATTTATATACTTTATATAATAAAATATTTATTTTATATATTTAGTAATTACCTAAAATAATTAATTGGTTGAATTCAAATCGAATCGAATACGGATATTGCCTAATTCAATTCGAATTTGATCCGTTTACACCCCTAAATATGACACCTACAATACATATAATATATAATAATATATTTTATATTATATAATGTATAGCATAAATATAAAAATATATTATATCGTATAATATAAAATATTATATATTTAATATTTTACACTTAAAGTCATAGGACCTTAACCTGACTTTGGGTCTGGCCTAGGCCTGACCCAACCCATGATCACACCTAGTTGTAATGCCTTTCCTTTGTTCATCTTATTTAAAGTCTCATTCACTTCATTCACTTCAATTTTCTGAACCTATTAACTCTAGTGATTTTATAGTTACTAATCCCCTATCCATTAGCACCCTCCATATGTTCTTCATTAATAATTTCTCAAAATAACTTTTCCATCTTTTATCAAGACTTTAATCTTCCTCTTTGATGAATTTTAAATCTTTGTTTTTCTTTTTCTCATCTATGTAAGTTTGTATATTCCATTTTAAATCTTTCTTTTTTAGTTTGTCTTATGCCTCAAATTTAATTTAAAAATTCCATTTTGCTTTGATTATATTTTGAACCTCTTCATTCCACCATAAGTTCTCCTAGCACTTTGCCATTTTCCTTTAGATTCTCTTAAAACCTCTTGTGCTACTTTGTTTATATAGTTAGTAGCCATACCAAGCCACATATTAGTCTTTTCATCTAAATTCTACTCTCCTACTTTGAGATTTGCTTACCTAATTTTCAGGCACTTATTTTTTATATATTTTTCTATCTTTTAATGTATGCATCTATCACCACTAATCTATGTTGTGTGGTTAATCTTCCTTTAGAATAACTTTGTAGTCCTTACATATCATTTGYTCTATTTGCCTATAAAGGAAGAAAAACTATTTAACTTGAATTTGATCCACTTTTAATTTAAATGTTTATCTTTCTTGTTAATGTATATGTTTACTATTGTCATATCATAAGCGGTTGCAAATTATAAGATTATATCTCCTATCTCACTCCTCTCCCCAAAACCAAATCCTCCATGCACCCTATCATATCCTGCACTTCCTTTTCCCGAGGGGCCCGGATTCCCCACACAGCTCCCGTCAGCTATAATAATATTTTTCCTCTTCATTATGTCTATTAGTTCCATTATCTTTCCTATTAAGGTTCCTACATTCCAAGTTGCTAGTTGAATTTGTGTTTCTTAGACCAACTTCTTTACCCACTCTCATCTAAAAGGATGTGGGAAGCTTCACCAATTTCTCACTACAACCTGGCACTGTTGTAGTGCATCACTTTTGGGGAACACCCTAGCATACCCTTGCCCGTTTCTCACCACACTTGAGTTAAGGTGTAGGACGCCACTTTTAAGTAATGCCCTAGAATGAGCAAGAAATGCAATTCAGAGTCTATGTTCATAAGAATTTGGTAAAGGATTTAATAGTGGATGCCAACCTAATACAACCCTCCTCCTTTATCCAAAGCTTGAGGCTTGCAATGCCAACCTAGCTCTCTAGAAAATCTTGTTGTAGGGGTTAATAGGAAAGAGCCAAGGACACCTTTGGGGGTGGGGGACTTTCTGGTTCCTGTGAGTATGTGTCTTTGGACTAACTGACTGATCTTAGTTTAGCTTTGTTTTCTATTCTTCTATCTTATTTTGCTTACTAATAAAATTTCTTCATTAGTTACTGAAGAGTGAAGAATTCGAATTGAGCAGGCTAAGCAGATTAAAAGCAAAGAGTGAAGAATAAGACCATAATAAACTTTTATGGAAAATATAGGCCAAGATATCTAAATTTTGTATATTTTTTGCGATTATTGCCATCCCTTCATTTTGGAATAATTTCACTTGTTATATGCATAAAAACACATCCAATGTATAGATTATATAATCATACAGTCATGCCTGATGATATGGCAGATTAGTATGTAATACACTTTTGAAAACAGACAAAAGCAAATAAATAATATAATTGTATTTGAAATAATAAAGACAAAGTTGATAGMTTTATAATATTTGAAACAATACTTACAAATTAAATCTTGAGGAAGAGCGAAGTCATAATCATTACTTCCCCTCCTGATGCAGCATACATAAATTACCAGGATTAATATGCCGAGAACAGCTAGACAGGATAGACCAATTGCAATTTTACCAGCAGTGGACAAGCCTCCCTTTCCCCAAAATAGAGGACATGATGGTAGAGAAGGTACACCACACAATCCTTTGTTGTGGGAGAGACTGGAAAGAAATACAACAGTGCAGAATCAAGAATTGTACTGATGGAAATGAGATTTTTGTGTGYCCAACAACAGAAAGAATCTAGTTTCATGACAACTTGATTCAGATAAAATATTGTTGGATGTATCTCACTGTGCCCACATGTCAATACATGCATGCATTCATATAGAGTGCAAGTGTAGACACAATCACACAAGAAAATAGACAAATACATACACCTTTATACATAAATAAATATTTAGAAAACATACATAATTAGAAGCAATRTTCTGTAATGGGCTTAAGGCAGATATTAAAGGAAGCATTGACATGGGTTTTCTTTTGCCACATGGAGGGATATATGGCTGATCCAGAATGTCCATCTCATGAAGGACCCTCTGGACCACCAACATGTATAATGTCATTGTCCACTAGTTCCCAAACCATCTGCATATTGAACTTTTACCTAGAAAGCAATGGCAAATTAATTTTCTTGAATTGTTAAATAAAAACAAGGGGAAAAAGGTCATTTCTGTTATGGCAGAGAAAAATTGACCTGAAAGTTGGCACATGTGTTGAGGGCATTGTTGGTCACATATGAAATGCTTTTGTCTGGCACATCATTTTCAACATGTAAATGCATGTGCGCATGTGTATGAAAACACAGAAGTGGTGCCAAGTATCATAATGCTCATTTTACCAGAAAAGAGGAAGATGAATAGATACATAATATATTCATGAAAGCTGTTATGCAAGTTTAGAATGTATATGTGCAATATAATCTACTGCAACAGTTTCAACTTTCAAAGGTAGATTGTTTTTTAACCTTGCAAATTGCTGGCCTTTGTTTTTCAGGCAGACAACATATCAAAGAGTCTTGATTTATAATTTGATAAAATATGGTAAACTACCTTATTACACTTCACCACTAGAGTCTACACAGTTGGCCACCTTTTTTTATTTGATCAGCAAAGAGTTGGCCACTTACTTTGTGTAAAACAGTTTATTGAAAATAGTTGGAAGTAACATTGTTCCAACTGTTTGTAAACTAGGAGAGAATGTAATTATCAAAAGGTCAAAAGAAATCTATAAGAGAAATAGAGGGATAAAACTTGACAAGAGAAACATTGAAAGGAAAAGAGATTATTTTCTTTACCCAACAGGGTGTCAATATAATATTCATTCTCTTTTGGATTGTTATAAGCCAAGAAATATGTAATACCCATTCTGCCAATGGTCACTGACAAGAGGATTTGAAAAAGGCAGATAATGAGTGGACTAGTTTAATCTTCTATATAAGTACCCTTAGGGTTAGAACAATAAAGGTAAAACAAAAAGGTGGACTGAAAAGTTTCTGTTTATGCCCTTCCCCAATACAGTGAAAAGCCGCTACTTCCAACCCGAGGTCATCTAGTAGAGAATCAGCTGACCATGGAACCTGAATGAAAAAGCCGTTCGTTCTAGTTGCCAATGATCTAGCCTCATTGATAAGGATGTCAATGGACTTCAAAAGCCCAAAATCCAATCTGACAACCAATCCAATTATTTTGGATTCAAATGATCTGTTTACATAATCAGATTGGATGTGGATTTAACCCCCAATACAGGGAAAAGCCGCTACTTCCAACCCAAGGAGGTCATCTAGTAGAGAATCAGCTGACCATGGAACCTGAATGGAAAATCCGTTCATCCTAGTTGCCAATGATCTAGCCTCATTGATAAGGATGTCAATGGACTTCAAAAGCCCAAAACCCAATCCGACAACCAATCCAATTATTTTGGATTCAAATGATCTGTTTATATAATCAGATTGGATGTGGATTTAACCCCCACCAGATCTGATTAAAATCCAAGCTCAATCAAATTTTGTCTGTGTTATATATATATAGGTAGGTAGATAGATAGATAGATAGAGAATTTATAATAATAAATTCAATATTCATATTTATATAAACTTATTATATATAAGTTAAAATGTAGGGGCCATTACTTGATATAATGGTAAAATCTCATGCTGGTAAGCGTGAGAATGCAGGTTTGAGTCTGAGAGTGACCACTTTGTGCAAAAAAATGCCAAAGGTTAGGAGCATATCCAGTCTACCCCTCCCAAGATAGATGGGACCAACATTGGGTAATGGCCTTTATATAAGTTAAAATGTAACTGAACTTAATGGGCTTGGGTTAAATCTGAATCTAATCCGAGTCTAACAAGATCCAATCCTCAAGATCCCTACTTGCTAATATAGTTTCAGTGGATCCATGATTATTTGATGGTGACCTCATCCATCCAGTGACTACTAAAGAATTGTCCTCCACCTCTGCTCTCTCAAGTCCCAAGGAGAAACCAACTCCCAACCTTGTAGTAAGGATAATATCTTGATTTGAATTGCTATTGCTTCCATTGAGTCCCTCAAAACACCTCCAACTCAAAAAAGATTTGGTTATTAAGAGAATATCCATTAAAGTCGAATCAATGGTTGTCAAGGTGTGATTCAAGGAGGCTTGCTTACACATATGTGGTATTTGTATTGTTGAAAGTAGTAATATAAATGGAATTATTGCCTGTGTTTTTCTTTCTTATGTTTCCTATTTAGTTTATAGGTTGATTGTTAGTGGGTCATGGGCCTATTTTAGTTCTTCATAGGTCTTTTGTTACAGCTAGCTTACTAGGGGCACTTAATTTTGCACATATTTCAAGCAACTTTTTAAGAGAGCTGGGGCCTCACTATTTTCCCCACAACCTGATTTTCTCTTCACTCCTCTTCTTTCTCTTATTCTTCTTTCTTTACTATTCTCTTATTTTAACACCCGGTTTGATTTACTTTTTTTATTAGTTGTTTCTGAATTATTTGACAAGATGTATATTGTATTTCTGAATTCTAATTATGGTTGACTAGTGTATGGGCATGTGCTATGCACATTTTCAAGTAAAGGGTAAATATATAAGTTAGCATCATATTAAATCAAATTTATCTTTAATGGCTTGCACCAAAACTAAGGCAAGTATCTGCTTTATATAGTTGGTTGATATAAGGGATAGAACTAGCAAGAAATGCATTCATGGGATGTTGTGAACTTAGGAGTCACCCTAATATGTAACTAAATAACAGGAAATACACTAAGATGGTTCAAGCATGTGCATAGAAGACCACCAACTGCACTCATAATGAGTGACTTGGGTTAAGGTCCTAAAAAGGTAGATAAAATGGACATCAGTTAAGGCAGCAAGGAAAGATTTAAAGCATTCGATATGTTTGAAAAAAGAAGTTCAAGTAAGAACTTGTTAAAGGAAGACGAAAAAAGTGGAAAACAATAGTACACTAACTGGCTTTGCTATGGAACCACATGAATGAAGTTCAGGAAAGTGATGCCAAAGTATAACACATACTCAATGGCTCCACCATGTACACCAATCGAGTAAAGTTCCTCTGGTACTTGTCCTTCCAATTGATTATCATTTAATAACCTGAAACACAAATGAGGATGTATCACTAAAAAATGAGTAAATGATGTCCTTGAGCAAATAAAGTATTATAAGACCATCTAAATTTATATAAGATGCAAATTAAAACCCTCTAGAACCTTCAAGTAGAACACTACAGAATGTGAAGCTGTGGTTTTCTCTAGTAATTATCCTATGTCAAATTGTGGCTGTTATCTATCTATCAACTTCTTGACATGGAATGTGTTAAATAAAAAATAAAAGTGTACAATAAAGGGAGCTTGAAACAAAACATTCTTATGCAACCTCTCCACTTGTTACGGTAGAACAGATTGGTGAAACAGGATTCATGTAGCCGACCCCATATAGTTGGGATAAGGCATGGATGATGATGATAATAAATTGAAAAATAAAACATGAAATACCAAGAGCGGCATCCAACCCAGCCAATAAGAATAAAAACATTACAAAATCACAAAAGACAGAAATACGGCAAACATATTCGAAAATGAAACTGATGTAGGATGATGAGAGCATAGTTTTAAATTTCAACAAAATTTTGCAAAATTTTGGTTTCAGATATGGCAACTAAAAAGGAAGTATGGAAAACTTTTGGATTTGACCACTTATTTCAACCAAAATTTCAGATACAATATTAAAAGTTTAAAACTAATAAAAATCAAGAACATGAACATAAAATCTTAGAGAAAAATATTAAATATTAATAAAAACTAAGTATTGAAAAAAAGTCATTCAGAATTCTAAATAACTGAAATTTCCATAATTTAATCCCTTGAATTGGGGTGGGGGGGGGGGTGCACCAGGCCTGGCAGATACATTGTAATTGTAAGATATAATCCAACCATGGTATGGCCAGGTAAGTGCTGCTGTATTAGCTATCTCCTTTCCAAACACCACTTTTTGGGTAATAAATAAAAAGCAAAATTTTACTAATCAAACAAAAGATTACATCCAAAGTCAGTGATGAGGGATCACCCCAAAACAAAAGATAGAAAAAGTACAAGTCTTTCATCTCCCAAGATCTAGATCTAAAACAATCCAAAAATTACAACCAAAATCCTCATTTGTGACTCTCAAATTCTGGAAGAAGCAAGACACAATCCCTAAACCTCTTTTTCCAAACACCATGGGAGAGTGGGATTCCATTTTATGATTTCATAATAAAATCCCTGACTTCAGTTGCTGACAAAAAAGACCATAATGTAGTTTTTTTTTTGAGAAAGGTAAAGTATTGGTATTGTATCGAAAAACAAGCTCTCCCTCAAAAAAATTTCTTGAGTGGATATGCCAAGAGAAGAAACCTCCAAAAAAAGCACCTAACTGTTATTTAAATAATGAAAATACCATCCATTGACGTCCACAACACTTCTTAGCTGAGCCATGGGCTACATATCCACCAATGGCAAAGCTTTGCAGCCACCCACAAGGAAAGCACCCTCCATGGTGCACGTTAGCCTCATACCATCCCATCTTGCAGAAAATGAGAAACCTGAAATCTCTCTCATTTTAAACCTTTTACCTCACCCACTATCCTCTTCTCCACTGCATGGTTCTACTCACAACCCCCATTGCCACTGGTCTGACAAACCCAACAGTCTTACCACAGAAGAAAGTTGACACACTAATGAAAAGTATAGTCTTTGCATTCTCCCTTTCTTCTCTTTCTCACTCATCATTATCTTTCTCTCGGCAGCCTATCTCCTCTGATCCATGCAACCCTAGAAACTTCTTGGACCGAAGAACCCTCCAACTGGATCAGGTCACCATCCTGATCAACGGCTATTCCCAATCACTACTCCATCTCCTCCAACCGATTGCCATCACGTACTCCTCCAGTCCCTCCGTCACTGCCGTATTCATTCTCTTGGGCAACCGCAACACCCCACATTGGATCTTAATCCAACTAAATGAAGACCTCACTTCCTCCTATCTCAGTGGCACACTGATCTCCATACTCCAATCCTCCAATAGCCTCAATGCACAATTCCTCCCTAGACCGTCTTGGATCACAATGAATGCTGTTGCGTTCTACGACGACATTAACAACCTCTTGGTGTGTACTCAAATGGATGGATGGATGGATTTTGACTCTCTATATGGAATACTCAACCGAGGATAGGTTGCAATTCCACACAATTTGCTTCATGAAAGACATCCAAGCATCAACCTGAATTTACCCAATAAAACCAACTTAGTCCTTGAAGTTGGTGAGGATGATTTTCACCAGACTTAGTAGCAAAATGCTCTGTGAGGAACCACCAGATGATAATCATTAAAAACCACTTAACCCCATCAATCCTATAGGTGGTAATTTCTTTAGTTTTTGTTCTAACAATAAAATCCTCCATTTAATTATCAAAATAAATGGTAATACAATTTCTAGTAAAATAATCCATCAAAAAATTACTAAAATAGTAACTTCATCTAAGGCTACAATAAAGCCAAATCCTTTTTCTAAGAATAAATAAAAGGGATTTCATTAAAATAAAAAGATAGTACAATCTGAACAGGTATCAAGGCGACACCCCAGAAAACTACTCTACACAGAATTGATCAATAAAACAACTTGAAGTTTCAGGACATCCCAAAAACTGTTCCCCACGGCTACTCAAATGACCTGAGCAAAAACTAGCCCCCCTGACACCCTTCAGCCTTAAGAACCAGCCATTCTTCACTGTTCACTCCCCAAATTCTTCCTTCATGCCCACATTGAAAATTTCCACTTTTGTTTCCTGCAGTCAACACTATCTTTGGTCTGTGTTTTCTAATCAAGTTCCTTACCACTGYCCTTCTGTTCTCTCCCTTGGCCCCCGCACATTCCAACATAACTATTTCGATCTTGCCCCCTAACATCTAACTGCTGCATTGATTTCATAAAGCCAAATCCTATAATAATTAGGATCTGAAAAATTAAATATAAAGGATTGATAAATTGGCTCTAATACTCAGAAATTAAGAAAATGTCATCTTGTAGGAAATTGCTAAGACTAAAATCCTTGAAGATAAAGGGATTTGAAGGGTCCTATACGAGGCTACAATCTGCTCCATAGGTCTAGGCCATACTCCAAAGGATCCAGACCCTAGATAGAATGTAGACCAACTTCTCAAGGATTTTACAAATTTGGTACTCTCTCTCCAGGCTCTTCTTTCCTTTCTTCTGTATTTGCATCAGGACTACAAAGAGCAAACTTTATGCAGGAGTGTTTGGCCTATCATAAACCCTTTTGTGTTTTCTATTTTTATTCTTTTGATCCATATCTGGTAAATTTTATTCATGTTCCATTTATATTTGCAAAATAGTCCACGTGCCACAATAGAAATTCATAGATCTCTCCCCAACATTTCTAAACATTGAACATACTAGAAATTATGATTCTTATTTTTGAAAGAACCCACCTACAACTGAAGGATGTTTCTGCTTTATGGAGTTTGGATGCCATTAAAAATTGTTATAGTCCTAGTTGGAGTCCTTTTTTTTTGATAAATGAGTAAAATTTTATTAAACCAGCAAATAAGAATTACATGCAACCCAATAGAAAGGCACGAGATGTGACCTTTCCTTTAAAGCTAGTTACAGAATTATAAGTACAAAAGAAATTACACAGAAGCCCAAAATAAAGTATCCCGGAGAACCCCTTGTTTTGCAAGTGAATCAGCCATTGAGTTTGCTGATCT